TTCTTCTTCATCAGATTTCTCAGGAACAAAGTGGTCCTGCTTAGTAGATGCAAATAATAGCTGTCTCAGTGTGTACAATGGGGTTTTGGATCCTCTTGGAAAATATGAAATAAATCAGTTTTCAAGTGTGCTTTACAAATGGAGAAGCAGATCTCTTCTAATAGTGATGCTAAAAGCTAATGTCTTCAATGGATGAATACTGAATTTCTATAGGTGAATTGTGATTGTTACTAATGAAAGTGTTTTTATATATTTATCTACCTTAGAGACATGGGATACTGATATTTCTTCTTTAGGATGTTCATTTATGAATCATGAATGAAAGTAAACATTGAAATATTCAACTATGGGTTTTTAATGGTGCCACTAAATTTCAGAGTACAGAGGGCTTTGCTTGGTACAGGAGTCTGGAACTCAGTTGTTCAAGAAAGATAGATCAAATATTATCTCCAGAGAATATTTTATGCATTATCCTTCTTCATGATAGGTCCTTCCTACTATATAACTGTCACGGAGTATCTGATGTTTGGTAATGTACTTCTACTCTTTCCTGACAGTCTCCTAATTTTCTCCATGAGGTTTTATTTTAAACCTTTGGCTTCACTAGAATTACAGTTGTAGGAACGGAATCAAATTTAAAACATTTCTTAATATCATCCTCTAAAATGTTAAGAAATCCTGTGTAGTGGTTAAGCATGGTAACTACGTCTCCAGTGGATAACAGAATTTGCAGGAACCATTATATGTGACTTATATGTAGATAAAGCCATGGCCAGTGTGTGGACTGTTATGCATTTGAGGAATTTTTTATATGTGCCTTGATATAGATTTTTTTAAAAGAATTTTTAAAATTTAACAACTTTTTCCACAAAAGTACAACTCATTGATTCTCATGTTTTTCATCCATGGATTTGAGTTAGACAATTTGCTAAACATAGTGTTAAAAAAAAAAAGAGTAAATTGCTTTTCCACTTCAACATTTGCTTTTTCACTTCAACATTTCTAAGCTTCTGGCAGAAATCTAAAGATCATTTCTCTTTGTACTGTCTCTGGGAAGGTCTCTTCTGCTAAAATTCTCCCTGGTTTCTCTGTCCCTCTCCCCCAATTATAATATACTTTATCCATCATTTCAGCTCCTGTAGTCTTACGGTATAAATCAAGATCTGTAATGCTCCTCAAATAGCAGAATGTAATGGCCCTGGAGTAAAGGGAGACTTTTCTTGATGAAAGCCAGGGGACCAGGAAAAAAAAAAATACACACACACACACACACACACACACACACTTGAAATGTAATTCCTATGGACTTTTATTTTTCTTCAAACTTTACCAACTGAAATGGTGAAAAATATGAGTAGCTTCAGAGGAGCTGAAAAGCTGTAATCAGATATGACCTAAACTTTGGCACTTTATATCTGTATCCTTTGGAAAGGCTTTCTATAGAGCTCTCTGATATTTTGGCACATCTCCAAGAGAAATTATGAGTCATGCATTCATTATTATGCTAGAAAAGCAGCCAAGTATTATCTCAAAAGAAGTTTTAGCTGAGTTTTCTTACCACACAATTTATATGTGCACAAGGAAAGTTCAGATAGGCCACCCAAATTAAAACTGAAGCTTCCATTGTTTGAATAAGAATCTCCTGAAACATTTTTAATAGTGTGATTTTCATTGTCCATATTCGAGCACAGAGTGTGTTTGCACAGCCCTTTGCAAAATGTACAATACCTGCCTTGAACAAAAAACCAGGACTGTGATCTATTTTATGGCAGATAGCAAGGCATCTGAATCATCTTATATTGTGTTTTCCTTCTCATTCAGTGATGGATCTATGCCTAACTAGACATTTTTAGCATTAACTCTTTCCACTCTTCTTCAAATGACATAGAAAGTTATTGCGAGTGATAGACAGGGATGATTTTCAGGTGGAGAGCTGGTAGTGGTAGGTATTCCTATGTCCACTCCAGAAATGAGCTGACTTGGCTTCTTGTCCTAGTGCTATAATCACAGCTATGTGACTATGAGCGAGTCCTTGTCTTCCCTGAGCCACTGCTCCCATATAACTAAACAGGGTTAATAATTTTCTCTCTGCAGGATTATGGTAGGGGGGAGATATAAGAGAGAACACGGATGTAAATGAAAAGCAAAAAAAAAAAACATATTAAGTTATATAGCTCAAACATTCTGAAAGACTTTGAGGGGAAGGTGAGTTTTGGGGAGGCACACCTAAAGTAATGGCAGGGTATCCCACAGCCCATTATTTTGATGAAAAGAAGGCAGAGCCTGTGTCTCAGCTCCATCGAAGACGTTGCATTCCATGTGAATGTTGCCCTCAGAGCAAAACACTCATGGTGTTTTCTTCTCTACATACTCAGAATAAAGGATTAATGCTATTCTCACTGGAATAGGGCCATGGGGCCTTACAAACAAATGTATTCATTCACTTCTGTCGTTTGTTAAATACTACAAATAAGCTGCAGGTCCCCATGCTGGGGCTAGTGAGAAAAATGAGAGATTAAGCAACTGCTTTTAAAACTTGTGACATTTTTGGATTACTGAGGTCAAGAAGTGCTTAAGATTTTGCTGTATTTCCTAAGGCACTGATTCTAGCTCTGTGATTTTGTATGCAAAACTTTGTGGTTATTAACTTTTCCATAGTCAGGGATCTCCTTTCTCCAACCAAAGACCTTGAGTAGAAATTGGAGGCAAGGATGGAAATTTGAAAATGGGCTTTTTCATGTAGGTTTTTTTGTAAAGACATTGATGATTTGAAAATCCATCTCAAGTTCTGGTAAACCAGAACCATTCTAATCATATAATTCCATATTGTCTGCAGTATTTTTCTTCACAACAAGCTGTTCAACATCATCAAAATGGTTCGGTAAATGACCTATCACTTATAAATGTTCACCAGGAAAATATTTCTGGAAACCACTTCCCTGCCTTTATCAAAGGTGAATATCAGCCAGGTGTGGTGGTGCAGCAGAGGCAGAATGTGCTGTTAATTCAGACACATCACATAAATGATAATTAATTATCTTATTCAAGCAGTAAGGAGGAGAGGGAGCTAGACACTGTCCTTCTCTCTGGATTTGGAAAAAAAGTGTTAATCGAAGCTCAGATCTTCAAGTGACCATACATGGTATAACTCTGTCTCACTGATTAAGTCTGAGATACAGCTTATAGCTTAGGAAACTGTTATCCATGTTTTCTGGCCTTGGAGTTAACTACTGGAAAATTCCTTAAAATACTATCAAAGAGATATTGGGTGAGGCTGGTGTATCCTATTAATCTTTTGAGTGCACCATGAAATACAAGGTCCTTGAGAACAGAGTCTTCTCTTTCCCCACACTTAAACTGTACTGTAACAGAATGCTGCTGTGCTCATTGTGGGTGTCAGATTAGTATCCAGGTATTGGGAAGCAAAGCAATCTTAATAGTAGAATGATAGATGCTCATTCCGACAAGAAGAAGTAGGGGAAAGTTTATCATGAAACCACTGTTAACCATATTAGGTAACTTGGTACAATTACATCTAACTCAAACATTAAATGAAGGTAATCACAAATAACATTTAAAATATAAATTAAAATTAAATGCCTCAGTCTCCTTTTGATAATCAAATTGGAAATGTAAGATGATTATTATCCAGAGTCTCTAGATTTTTCAAAATAGCATGTTGAATTTGTAGCAATTGATGGGTCATACAGGATTTCTCTAACTTAACATGTATAAAAGTGGCAGAAAAACACCGAAAGAGAGTGATTTAAGGCCTTCCATCCAAGAGAGCATTTTTGGATCCTATTTTGTCTTTTAGTCTACTGTTGAATGCTGGGATTTGAGATAACAGGTTACAATAGTCCAAATTCTCATCTCATTGAATTATCTAATTAAGGGCTAGGGGTTTACCTCAGTGGTCCCGCGCCTGACTCACAAGCTCAAGGTCCTGAGTTCGATTCCTGATCCCCAAAAAATCTAATTAAAAGGAACAAATAAGAAGAACTTCCATAATGTGCCTCCATGGGTGTTTGAAAACACTTCCACCATTTTCCAGATGGCAGGAAATCTGAAGACCTTGGACGTGTCACATGTTGATCTTTTATTTGGTTGATAAATCATCCAGTTCTTTACTGGAGGTGTTTTCATCCCCTATAAACATGTGACTGACAATGTCTGGAGACATTTTGGATTCTTATGACCGGGGATGCAGCAAATGACACCTAGTACAACTCACATTTCGTGGAAGCCAGGAACACCACTCAACACCTGGCAGTGGCCATGGCTGACACCGCTCAACACCTGGCAGTGGCCATGGCTGACAGGAGCCCAGACACAGAGTTATCTCACCCAAAATGTCATGAGATGCCAAGAATGAATTAAATTGCCAGTCCATCCCAAAGACTGTACTCCAACAGATATGACCATTGAGGAGATATACTTCAAATTCTCAGGACAAGGCATGCAAATAATAGAGTCCAAACCACATTGGAACACTTCATGTGGGGATGGTCCAATGAACAGTCTCCTGTAGTTGGTGTTATAGCATGTGATAAACATAAAATCATTTCCCCCTTGTCTCTTTGAGAATAAAATATAGTTGGAGGAAATGATACTTTTACTGTTCTAAAGGTCAGGAAGACCTTGGTTATCCATTTGAAAAGAAAAACCAGTGCATAAACCTAATAGAGCAGTTGAAAATCATACTTCTCATGGATTATCTATTTTGCATTTAAACATGTTCTGAAAACAAAAGAAAGAAGCTGGGTTTCTGGTGATAACTATGTTGTCATATGGTTTCTGCCAATATTAGCATCCATAGGCTTCACTTAGCTTATATTTCAAAGTCGTGGCAAGAATAGGTATTAAGGATTTTGTAACTGTTTGGGAAATTTTAAAGGTTATTAAGTTCTAAATAACAGAGTCCTTCATGTTTTCCCACCAAGCTTTTCCCAGCAGTTGAATATATCTGGATCTTATTCTGGTTTTTCTTCTTTTTTTAGCTTCCTGAAATGACTCATGTTCAAACAGGACGACCCTGGATGATGTTTCTTCTGCAAAACATTGGATTGGTCCTAGGTTGGCTCTCTCTCTTACTCTTGGCTATATATGAACAAAATATTAAAATATAAATGAAGATTCTCAAAATCCTTCAGAAGTGAATTTATAGGACCTCCTTTCATCTCTTTCATTGTACTTAACAGTGATTAGTAAACTAAATATTTTTATCTTAGGTGAAGACTGCATCTTTTAGTTCATTAATTTATTAATTTTATAATGAACTTTTGTTCTGGGTGAATACACAAAAGATCTGACTGTCCTTCATGGAAATTTTGTTCGTATCCAACACTGTGATGGAACTTCTGCTTTTCTTTTTCTTTTCTTTTCTTTTTTTTTTTTTTTTTTTTAATCATAAAAAAAATTTAAAAAATAGTGTTTCTCTAAGAAAGAATGTAGTATTTGAAGTAGACAGATGTCTGTTGGGGATAAAATCAGGTATAACTGCTTTGATGTAAAAAATGTGCTTTATTTTCCCTCTGTGAAATTATAAACCCACAGAAAACTAATGATAAACAAACGTAATAAAGGCAAGTTTTAACGTGATGGTTTGCATTACCTTCTGTTACTGCATGTCGGGCACCAAGCCCTCTCTTATAAAGCCAGTGCAGGGTCGTTCACCTGGAATCATTACCTACTGACTTCAGAGTGTTCATGAATAAGCAATCCCAGGACCCCCGGAGGATAGCATGACAGCATTCTTCTGCATAAGTCACGAAAGGAAATTTGTTCCAGGCAAGAACTTGGAAACAAAAAATGAAGTTCAAAAAAAAATTTTTTTAAAATAACAAACCTTGAGTCAGGCAATGCCCGGATGAATGCCTGGACTCACATAGATTGTGTAACAGAGCAGGTTTATGGGAATAATCCTCCTGACAAGTACATTTCATGTTTTTTCTGAGGCAACATAGACTTCTACACAGGATTTTGGTGGGGAGAGTACATGACATGAGCGAGCAACATTGCTGATAACCCGGCAAAAATGTTAAAGTAGAAAAGAGCCTTGACTTTAGTTCCATTTTTATTGGAAAATGGGTGCCCGCCTAATCCTTTTCTTTTTTCTTTCTTTTTTTTTTTTTCTAATGATGTATCTTGACAAGGAACAATGCCTATTTTTTACCAAAATGACTCATGGCACCGGTCATGTGAGTCTCTTTTGCCTCTTACCCTTCGGTAGATAACTCACTGCTATGCCTGTCAACCACTTTTCTTGGATTCTGCGAGGAAGAGGGTTTCTCCTGTCGTTGTCCTTAGGGCTTGCTTGAAGGCAGCTTCACTGAATAGTTCAGAAGTCCTTAAACTTTGGCACGAATCAGAACCAACTGAAGCATTACCCCATGGGTAACAGATTGCTGGCTCCGTCCCTAGAATTTCTGATTCTGGGGGTCTTGGTGCTGCTGCATGACGTTACATCTGTGAACACCGGCGGGGAACAGGGAGTCAGGTGGCTGTGGCTTTGAGAATGAGCAGGTGCATAACTCTTGCTAAAGAGCCACGTGCTTTGGAATAAGTTGATTGAACTTTTATGAACCTCATGCTAGACGTGTGTTCCTAGGCCAAAATTCGCTTTTGTTTTTCTTTTGCCCTCCCCTCGGAGCAATGAATCCATCCTGAAGATTACTGGATGAGGAGTCCACAGACAGTATTTGGATCCACACTTACCATGAAAGGTAAGTAGATCTGACACATGAAGCCCTACCTTTATTTTTGCTGCAGAATAACTTTGTTCAGATGGGCATGGTGGAGAGGTCATGTCCAAAAAGTACCGGGCACTCCTGTGTCTGGGTTTCTACTCCTGGGTTCTAAGTTTGAAATTAAATCTTAATTTCTGCCACCCTAATGAGGACGGCTCTGATGGATAACTCTGCCTCCCTTTCAAGTTTGCAGTAGTCTGCAACTGGCTGAATTAGAGTTTGGTATGAGCTGCTTCCTCTGTAACCTTCAGGTTGGAGTGAATCTGACACTGGGGAGATTGGTAGCAGGGTGCAGAGGGGCTGCATGAGAACCAGCTATCTGTAGGACTTCGAGGGACCTCCTCAGTATCTTTAAGAAGATCGCTAGTATGTTCTGATGGAAGGCAGAGACCTGTCCACCCAGAGGTTGTCCTAAGGATAATGAAACAGAGATTTCTGAGGGCACCTTTCCCAGATCCCCATTTCTGCTCTTTTCTACCTTATCCCTGGCTTTACGCTAATCCACATCATGCTCAAGACAGCTGACCACAGCCTGCTGTGGACCTCTGGCCGCAAGCAATCTTAAAAATTGCTAGAAAATCTCCATTCCTCAAAATTGAGGGGTAATAATAAAAACTGGACGATGACCATGTGGCCTTAAACTATGAGGAATCTAAATTTGGAACTGCTGACCATCATCATCCGTTAAGCTGTCTGTGTTATGGTTTGCTCCCTGGTCTTTGGGGTAGATGGTATTTTCTTGGAAACCAGATTTTTCAACATTAGTATGTTTGTTTCCTGGGCCTAAAATTGGGATTGCACTGTGGTTCTACTTGATGATGGATTTGTTTTTTTCACCACTGAACTAGAAATGCTCCTGGAGACAAATCAAAGAGAGAATTATGTAGAAATTGTATTTAAATATCCATCATATACTGACCGGGCCGTCTTGAGGGAGCAGGGAACTGGCCCTTGGACTAGGGCCACTCCCAGCTTCTCCACTTCCTCCCCAGAATCTGGATGTGCAGGTGACACTGTGCCTCCCCTTGTGAGACCTTCTCTCAGAAGACTGCACATCTAGAACACCCTTTCCCCTTCTACATGGAGAGGGAAGGCAGGATCACCAGGCTGCTGACCACTAGGGCAGGTCAGATTGATCAGATGGAGCTCTCGTGTGGTCATTACGAATTCAGGCTCCTAACTGGAACCTCCATCCAAATCCACTGCTGGGAACAACAATTTCTTCTTTCTGTAAAGTGGGGCTAAAAATAGACCCTATCTCCTGAGGTTGTGGTGAGGCCAACGTGTGGTACAGAGTGCAGGGCCTGGAAAAGACTAACGGCTCAAGAAATATTAACCACCATCAGCACTGCCATTGTCATTGCTAGTCCCTTCTTTTGAGAGAATTTCACAGTTTACCTCTCAGTGTCATCACTTTGGTCAGGAAAATGTTTTTTCTTAGTGGAGAGTGGAGATCAAGCCTTTTTATAGAAATGTGATCCTCTATATAGTCTTTCTCACCAGCCTGTGAGAAACTGACCTGTGTTTTCTTTGCCTTGAGTCACTTCTGGAGCAGGAGATTGAGGTCTGTCTCACGTCCCCCCGAGGCAGGCTTTGCCCATGTGTCCTACTGCTTACACACAACATGAGGCCCTCTCTCTCATACTCTTTATCTCTCAAAACAAGTTGCAAAACTATTATGTTCCATCCAAGGTTACACATCCAAGGTTGAATGATGGAACTTGCCAAGAACCTGTCTGTGGTCATGGTTATTGTCACAATTTGATTTCAACTCAGGAAAAACAAAAAGAAATTCAACTGATTCCCCCTGGTACCCTGTATCTACTGAGGAAAGCAAGGAGTCCAGCACCATCAGGGGAAACGGGGTGAGTGCTTACTTGAGTCCCAGCTTGTTTAAATAGGGCCAGTGCCATCCAACTGGACATGGACAGTGGGGCTGCAGGTGCCTAACTAGTGTGTTCTTTGAGGTGGAGGCATCAGCCTGGGGTGTCACGCACCTCTTAAAATCTGAATGAAATGTAGGAGAAATTTTGAGAGCCAGAGGGATTTTGAGTAGCCACATTTTGAGGTCCCAAATCTAGAGTGATCTTAGCCCATCCGACACTGCTCTTTGGAGTTGGCTTGTGAAATGCACTCGCACACCCTTCCTATCTGTACTCGCTGTCCTGCACCTCCACTGTAATATCTTTCCAGGATAGATTCTCTGCCACACAGGCCTTCCTCCCACATGCCACTCTACCCACTTCGCAGATGCCTCCTGCTTCTCTTTCTTTGTAATAATAAGTCCCTCCACCTCTGTAGTCGTAGTGAAAAATATAAAAGAGGATCTTCCCTGACCCCTGCCCACAGGGAGAGGGGCTTTGTCCAGCTCTGACCCATCCAGGCTCCCGCTGACTGCCATCCACTCCCTCGGCTTCACTTAGAGCTCTGGAAACTCTCTGGGGTTCCGCCTTAGAGACTCAATGTGTCTCATGGTCTCGGCATTTCCATTAAATAGTAGGCTATGGAGAGAGAAATAGGTTCACGATGTGACATAATGCAGGCACCAGAACCAAGTTTAGGTATTTAACTCAGCCCTTTGATTTTATAATAGTGAAATGACAGCAACTATCTGTGTGACACTGTGTGGCAGGTGTTGTTAAAAGTGCTTGTGCAACTTCCTTGATTCCCTTCACAATCCTGGGAATTGATGCAATACTGATTTCAGTGCCGTCTTATAGATGATGGCGTGGGTGCCAGCAAAAGTTGGTTAACTTGCAGAGTATTGGTGAATCAGTGGAAGTTGGCTGTGGGGTTTGTGATCTTAATCCCTACGTCCCAGTGCCTCCTCAGAGGGAATGGGTTCAGAGGGTCTAGACTGTCACCATAGCACTGATCTCTGGCAATCAGTCAACCTGGACTAAATTCTCCAGCTCTGACTTCTAGCGTGGCAAGCTGACCAATCTTTCCAACCTCTGCTGGGCCTGCCAAGTCTCTAGGGCCCCCGTCACCTCAGGGTGCTGCTGTTCTTCCAGTTCGTGTTCATCTCCCTCATAAGGATTTATGCAGCTTTTTTTTTTTTTTTTTTTTTTTTTTTTTTTTTTTTTTTTTTTTTTTTTTTTTTTTTTTTTTTTTTTTTTTTTTTTTTTTTTTGCATAGTCTTATTGGTTTCCTAGTTGTTAATTTTGTAGAATGGTTAAAAAAAAAAAGAGCTCAGAGAATCAAGCCCCAGGTCTGTCTTCAACTGCGCATCTTCAGGCCTGCATTTTCTGTTCTGTAAAGCAGGGGTGTAGACGGGATGACCCCACATGGTCTCACTGAGGCCCAGCTAGCTGACCAGGGCCCAGGGCTCTTTGCAGTGGCCCTGACAGCCTGGTGGTTTGTCTTCTCCACTACAAACTGAACAGCACACGGCTCATGGTAGGGTTTGTTGTTCTTGCAGAAACCACTGGTGCAGTGGTTTGAACGAGGTTCCCCCAAGGTGCATATTGAGTCCAAACCTCAGAATACAACCTTATTTGGAAATAAGGTCATTGTAACCGCAATTAGGAAGGACAGGGTCATACTCCATTTTGGAAGGGTCACCAGTATGACTGGGGTCTTGATGAGGAGAGGAGACTCGCAGAGGCAGGCGCAAAAGAAAAGCAGCAATGGAAAGACAGGCAGAATGGAGTGGGGCAGCTAAAAGCCAATGAGCAGCAGAGATTGTTGTCAAACCTGGAGCCGGGAAAAGGCAAGACAAGACCCTGGGGAGGGTCTGCATGGGAGTGTGACCCTCTCGGAGCCCTGACTGTGGACTGCAAGTCTCCAGAGCTGTGAGAGAACACATTTCTCTAGGTCTAACCCACCCAAGTTGTGGTTACTGCAGCAGCCTTAGGAAACCCACAGTCTCCATAGAGGATAATTCCCAAACGTTAACACCTTGGGATTCTTTTCTGCATAAATATTGGAAGGAATGTCTTTTTAAAAACCTGGGTTCAAGGCTGACTTTAAATTAGAAAAGTGTCACTTATCACCATGCATTCTTTAGGTTCATTGTGTTCCAGTCTTGCCCATAAACTGGACAAAGCTATAGAAAGTATTTTTTTAAAATTCATATTAACTCAAATCGTGGATATTAGGGTCCCCCAAACCTCAGACGATAAGTCTCAAAACTGAATGCCCTGCTGGCTGTGAGATCACTGCTGCAGACCAGGTCTCCAGAAGGTAGGTCTACCTTTTACACAACAACCACTTTGTTAAAGAAAAATATGTATGAATCTTCTCAGGTGCCATTAACACTGCTCTGGGGAAACCTGAGGAAAGAAAAATACAGCTAGTCCCTTGGCCTCCTCTTCCTTAACTAGAGAAGTCTGTGAAGGGT